TAAAAAATAAAAAATTAATATTTTTATTTATACATTTTCTCTACTTATAAAGATTACAACTGAGTTTTTAATCATACTGATATTGTGATTATTATGTATTTTTTTCATTTAAAACATTTAAAAAATAACAAAATTGTATAGATTATATCTGATTGTAAACTTTTAAAACAAAAGTAATTTTTATCACTAGGAAAAAAGTTAATATAATTTTTAAAAGGCAATATACTAATTTTAAAAAAAGTTATACGCTTGCCGTTTGCCATAAACCTTATTGCCTAACTGTTGACGTCATTTTCAATCAATCTCATGCTCCGAAAATTTTTAATTAGAAAAAAGGCTTATTTGTTCCAAAGTTAAATCCCCGATTCAGTCCCTCAACTTTTATTTTTAAATTAAATTTACCCTCAAACTTCAAAAAGTACTAAAAAAATCCTTGAACTTCAATTTTCGAGACCAATCTCATTCTTCCGTCAACGAAAGTGCCAGATGGTACATTAAGTTGCCACGAAATCAATTCTTGTTTGAAATCTTTAATTATGTGGAAAATAATTTAACTCATTATTATCCACATCATTTTAATTAATTAATTTATTAAAAAATTTAAAATTCCTTAAATACCCCATCTTCATCTTCCATCCCCTTCATCTCTCTCTATCCTCAGATGTCTCCTCATCTTGCAACCCAATCAGCACCGATCATCCCTCATTGCTCCGATCATCTATTACTACTCTAATCACCATCTACTTCTTCCCTAAACCTCTTCTCTAATAGAACCAAAATCTGGTTCCTCGCACAATAATAATGACCAATGATTCAAAAAATCAATTCCTCTGCAAATGTATACTAGATTTGTAAAGGAAAATGTAAAAAACACAATATCCCTTCAATTAGCACTAATAGTAACTATATCTTGAAATTCAAGCAATCAGAAACCACAAAAAACTCTAAATCCCATACCAAGAGCATGACTGCAACCAACAAAAAAACAGAAGAAAAAACCCAGGCGAGTTCGACTCAAACCCAGGCGTGCTGGGTTGAATCCAGGGCC